ACACAGCCAAAAATATGAATATAAAGCAATTTTAATTTTCCTCTAGATATTTATATCAAAGAAATAATACTCATGTCCAAGTATTGTACATACAATATCTTTCTTATAAACTCTGTAGTTTAAAACACATGTACAAAATTGCACATTGCAGTTTGCAAAAAATCATAAATACATTTTTGCATGTAAACAATTCCAGCACAAGGATCAATGTAATACATTCCAAAATGTCTAAGTGTCTGCTCACAAACAAAAACGAACAAAAACCCCACTGTGATCTCCATAAAGGTCCTAATGTTACAAATCAATCATTAACAGATTTCTAACTGATGTACTACACACAGGGATACATAAATGAGCACAAGGCAAGTCGCCTTTTAGTCATAAGTACTTAAGACAGAGGCTTGGAATACAATCCTGCTGCCATTTAAACCCACGGTATCCATCCCACAGTATTTAGTGGTAGCAGCATTAAGTTAATTTTTCCAAGATTGCAAACTGCAGTATGCCTTACTTTCAATCCTCAAACAAGTTGGCTACCACTGAACAGTAGGAATTTTTAAATTATTGTAAACACAGTTATCACTGTTGTATATTCAGTAAGTTACAGTATTCTCCTAAACACATCACTAAATTAAGAAAATGTTTTACATTTAATCAAGTGCAAGATGCCCACTAGTATTGTCCACTTTGTCTCAGAAATAAGTATTTTGAATATAATACAGTTAGTAAAAGTAATGTAAAAAAATTACAACGGACATAATCCTCAGTTGTTAAGCCCTGCAGCTTGTTTACATTTTAAAAAATCACCACATCAGAAAAAAGGTCTCAGAAGTGTCCTTTAAAATCTCTCCTGACCAAATCCAGCAAATGAGTAGCTACTCAATTTCATTTCACTATTATCTCCATCTGTGTGCAACACCCTTGCCAGCATACCTGTTTGAAAACTTAAAAAAAAAAATCAATCAGGTTTAAAAAGGTCCATTATATCCATATAGAGTTACTTGTTTTAGTGTCTGTTTTGGGTTGCTCTTGTGTTTCTTTTTTTTTTTTTTTTTTTTTTTCATTGGGTTTTTTGTTTCATTGGGGTTTTTTAATCTATTTTGTTTCATTGGGGTTTTTTAATCTATTTCTCAGAGGCTTCCTCTATGCCAGCTAATTTAGTAAGGCAGAGTAAGAAGGTACAGATAAACCCAACTTTAAAAAAACCCAAGAAAGGATGTAGACACCCACCCACCAACTAGTTGCATGTCAGCTGCTGGGAGAGCAAAGCCCAGTTTGAACTGCTCTGCTTCCACCTTTCCTTGTGAAGAGCTACCCTGATGCAGACAGTTTCAGTGCCATGCCTGAAGGCCTATGAAGAACCAGCTTGGACTGAAGAACTGTAGGAAGCAGCAGTTTGCTCACACCTCTTTTGGACAAAAAGAGAGCTTGGAAACGCTGGTGGTGACACAGCACAGGGGGGATTCTTGCCCTTTACACGAAATCCCAGATTCCGTAATCTGCATGTGGCATGAATCCCAGGAAGGACCACAGAATTTTTGTGATACTACCAGCAGCCCAGCCCATGACATTGCAAGGTATTGTAATTATAGTAATGCAGATCATTAAGTGTTTTCTGCATCACAGCAGCTCAGCAAGAACCAGAAACCACCAGGGGTTTTCAAAGCTGGGTCCTATTGCCCAAGAGCTCTCCTTTATCTGATAAGAGTTAGTTCCTCTGTTGAACTGACTAAAAGACATACTGCACAAAGAATGATAAATTTAATCTTTCCCGGTCTGCACCAAACTGGAGCTACTCCTTTCTAAGGGGATCTCTTTTGAGTCACACAAGATTAGCCATCACAAACATCACACAGCGAGGGTGCATTTGTGGTCCCCCAAACCTCAGAAAGATTTTTTAGTGCATGCAGAAACTGCAGGAACAAAAAGCCAACTTTAGATGAGACACTACAAGAAAGAGAAACTGCCCTAGAAGAATGTGCTACAAGTTCACAAATGGAAAAACACAGAGAGCTGAAGAGCTACTTCACCAAAAGACTTATTCAGCAACACAGACCCAGCTGCCTTTCCTGGTAAGATGCTGCACTGGGAGTATAAAAACTACCTTTAGACATTATAAACTAGAGGCAACCTCACAGACTGACTTTTAAGGCCAAGGCAGCCCAAGGCCCTTCACAGCAGAATATCCCTGGTACTGACACCTCTTAATCTCTCTACCCTTCTCCCCCTTCACTCTTTTTGACCTTCAGAAGCCAGTATACCCCTTCCTGGTAAGGAAGAGTGGGAGTGGCAAAAATCAGTGGCTATATTTTGGTGTGCAAGACTATGCAGACTTGCCTATCATTTTCTATTTAAAAGTCAGGAATTGCACAATACTATATTGCAACACTTACTCCCTTCCCTTTGTCCTGTACAAAGCAGTAAAGCACAACCAAAGCAAAATCACTGCTGGGAGTGTTTAGATTGACGGCTCACATGCCAGAACTGCACTAAGTGTCTCTGTAATTAACAGCACCTTGCAACGAAGCAAAACAATTCTCCAATATATACTTGTGTTGGGCATTTTGTTTCGGGTTTGGGTTTGATTGTCTTGGCTTGGTATTTTATTTTTCTTTTTTCTTTTTTTCTTGGGGGATAGTGGGAGAGTTAACAAAGCCTGAATATTTAATCTGCTACACGTGGAGGAATGCTCAAGGGGCTCGCAAGAACTTGTTTTACTGCACATTGAGCAACACCACATGGCAAAGCCTTGAAATTAGAGCAAATGCTTGAAGACAGGGCGTAGCTGCCTTTTGGAGCTCGTCCTTCATGGGCTGCATTTTATTAGAGAGTAGACCTTTGCATAACCAGTCAGCATGCAGACCTGAGCTTTACTTGATGACATTCAGTAGGGTGGCCATGGCTTCAAATAAATAAGGGTAAGTGTGAAATCACTAGTCATCAGGCCAAACAGGCAGGGGCACAGTTTCTATAGAAGAAACATTTAGAAGACACTTATGCAGTAATGAGAAAACAAAGTAAGTTAAAAAGCATTCTGAAGAGCAGTCCTAATTATCTGCTACTTAAACATACAACAAATACTACCATTAAATACTATTTCAGAGATAAGTATTATTTTTTCCTTGGATTCAATTTGTTTTTTCTCCTTCCTGGTGCTGATAACTTTGACCATAATCTCTAACTACTACCAGTGGGGAAAGGAATAAAGAAGAAAACTTTATTAGACACTTCTGGCCTGTTGGGAAACTGGTGTCATACCATGTGAACATATCAGCTTGTGTGGCGATTTCACTTATAGGGCGTCCACAAAGACTGTCAAAAATCACAAGGATTTACAATACCATTTTAGTAATGGGCACAAAATGTTTTGGATTGATAAAAACATTTTGGCAGCATTTTAGGAATCCCTATTCTGAAGGTGTCATCTTGCAGACCATAAACAGTTGTCCTAGCTACTTACGGCCATAACTTATGTCATATTAGATATAACAAGAACATTTAACTCCCTAATAATATTTCCTCACTATTTTGTCACCTTCTCATGAAGAATGTTAAAAGACAGAATGGTAAAAGTTGGAAAAATCCGAGAATTCAAACTCTATCTCTACTTGTGAAGAACAGCAAGTTATGTATCAGTATCTTCTACAGCTCTCTCTCCATAGCTGTTACTAGGGAAAAGGAAGGAGACTATCCAAAATACATTCTCTGGAACAGGACACTAACTTTATTTGACACTACTCCATTGCTTGTATCCTGCTTTACAAGAAAATCTGAAGATTTATGAAACAGAGGTGTGGGAAAGATGGTCAAGTTCAGTATGTTAACCTTCACATTATTCAGCATGTAGCAGAAGACTATCTTTAGTTAGTTAGTTAGTTAGTTAGTTTAAAACAGTTAGTTCTTAAAGGTCAATTTTCTGTATGAGGCAGATGGAGACATCCCTTAGGAAGCTCTCTGACAAACAACTCCTCAGAGTTCAAGCTATTGGTCATGATTTTTCACCTGTTCAGAGCATTGTTTAAGAATGGGGATACAGTGAGAAGCCTGACTCTTAACAGCTTCAGCTTTCTCCATCTATGACAGAAGTAATACCACAATTGGACAACCACTGACTGAAACTGAACAGCTGCAAGACATGCTTCAAGGTACTCATTAGAAAGGTTTTCAAATTTATTAAAAAAAAATTGAAATAAGAATAAAACAGGACTCGACCTAAAAAAGTAATTGAACTGCAAAACCAAAACAGAGACTGTAACCAGTGATTTTCCTCCTCCCCTTTGTATGGGATGGGAGTCTGATCTCCAGCAAGACAGCTCTCCAAGGCTTGATGGACCCTATTTAGGTGACTTACAATTCCACCTATACTTGGTTCTTAACCAGTAAGTAACAGTAGTAGTAAATCTCATCAGCAGTGTGCTAAATATCAGAATCTAGCAGTGTATTTAGTGCACAGTGAACTGGTCATATCTATTATCTCCATGTCAGCAAGGCTTCAAACCCAACCATCACTTCAAAGCATTCCTACAGAAATGGTCATTCTTTAGCTAGAACATTTACTCCTGAAACTATCGAGACCCTCTTTGTTACTAGTACTGGAAATTGAGAGCAAAGCTCAATTTACAGCTAGTTATGTTATGGATAGAGACTTTTTGACAGCAGAAAATAAAGCAAACACCACATAGGTAATCATTTAGGGTGCCTACTTTAAAACATTATTTATGATAATCATAATTTCACCTTGTAGTAAACTACTACACATCGACTGCAGCATTTCAGATAACATTAAGGCTAAATGTGACTTCAAAGTAAGTTCTCCTTTTGTGTAAATTTAGCAATGCAAGGCTTGACAGTCCTTCAATTTGACTGGAAATCTAAACAATCAGCTTGTGATCACACACAGAAATGCAGTTTAATCTTCTTCTGGAAGAATTTGACCACAACAAAAGCATATGAAAAACCCCATTGTGTACTGTTGCAGCTAAGAAAATCCCAGTTCCTTCCTTTGGCCATCCCCTTCTCTATGCACGCTGGTGTCTACACACAACACCTCGACATATGTTTTGAGGTATCTGTGCTTCAGAAGAATTAGTTGGAATCCAGAAGGCTGGATTTGCTGTTTCTTCACTGACTTGAGAGGATACCGCCCAAGCAGGACTCCAGCGCAAGAACTCATGTCCCCTGCAGACACAAGATCAAGATTCAGAGTTTTTACATCAGCAACACACTTTTGTCAAGACTACTCAACTGAAAGTTGCATTTCAATACACAGCACTGGTGTGAAGATACAGATCCTAGATCGGTTTCCTTCCTCCTCACCACTGCTTCCCCAGTGGGACCCTTCAAAGACAACTAGAGCAAGGCATTCTGACTGACCCTTTTGAAGCCAGCTGTTGCAACATCCAAGCAGAGATATGGTTTGTGACACTGATGGAGAAAGTAAGCCTTCAGGTATGAAACAGCTTAGGAAAAAGTGCCCCCAGACTAAGGCAAACAGCAAGGATCAATGCTCGTAGCAAGGCAACAGGATGGTGCCTTGGAAAGCTACTCTGGTTATGATTTCTGTGAATACATTTCTGCACACACAAACAACAGGTTCTCCACTGTGCACTCACTGTTGCAGTGCTTCTCAGAAACCTACATTTAGCTTGTCACACATGACCAGTTCATGGAGAAGTTGCTTCTGTCCCACCTCCAAGCTACTGTGTCATTATGAAGAGAGAAGTTTCACAGCACAAACAGCTGCAAGACACTTCATAGGATAAAAAGAGACAGATCTCTGAAAAAGGATAAAAAGAGACAGATCTCTGAAACACGGAAGAGGAGTAATCATGAATTACTAAAACCCTCTTGTCCCCCATAAGTTACCATAAAGGCCTGAGTCTCCATATATTCAGATTTAATTCAACATCTTCATAGTGAAGTTGCACCATGTGTGGCAAGATTAACAAGGTTCTTACAAACTTCAGATTCTGCACTTTGTCACAGGAACATTTATTATTCTTCATCAGATACACTAAACCCTGATGCAATTCCACAACAAGTGACTGTGATGTGAGAAGAACGAGTTAACATTTGCAGGATTACTATGTGCTGTGAAAGGTTTCTGTCCAAGATTTTTTCTGCTGATACAGGTCTTGCCAAATACTGAAAGAGATGAATCCCTGACAGACTTTACTGTCCACCTCTGCTGGAAGATGAGCAATGACTACAGAGTCACTACAGCAGTCACTACTGATAAAAAGAAGTGACCAACAAGCATCAAAATAGGATAAGAACTCTTCAACACTCATTCTTACAGTAAAACTTCGAACAAAATACTGGAAAAATGGAAGTGATTTTGTACAAATCAAATATGTACACAGATATGTCATACTCCAATTTGTCTACTTGCTAAACATAGAAACTTGGAGAATCAAGTAAGGAAAGAGCAAAATTATCCAGCAGCAGTTACAGCTGCACATATGAATAAACTCAAATGTTACTAATTGCTTTTCCTTTTTTAACTTGTGCTCCAGAAGCAGGACACATAAAATGCATCAAAGAATGCCCTATGTTACAAGCAGATGTAACATCTTTTCCTCTTGCATATTAATCTCAGATATAGAAAACTTTTCTGTAAGAAGCTGCTGGATTCAAGTAGTTAAGACTCCAGTTATGGCAGCCAAGATGTTATTTTCAGCACAACTAGTAATTCAGACCTGGGATGCACCCGTGCTACAGACACTATCAAACAATACTATTCAGTATTTTGGGAAGCATCAATTACTTATACAACTGATTAAAAATTAAGTTGCCAAATCAATTTCCACTTTAACAGCTGCAAACTGCAGAATGCCTCAGGGCTTAACGTGTGGAGGTCACTCCTTTGTCAAAGGTGAGAGAGAGTCAATCAGATATTTAAAGGAATGAAGGATGCCTCCTGACTCTTTCTTCTGTACAGATACAAATACAAACCAAGATAACAGAGAACTGTCATAGAGCCACCCTCGATCTCAAACAGAGGATGATAGTCAGTAGTGACTACTGACACACAGTGAAGAGTCCAGATGTGTTGAGATATTTACCTTTTGGGAAACCATCAGAGTCTTATAAGAGAAAACATGACCATCAGCACCAGAATCACTCCTCACCCTGATCAGGACTTACCATGTCCAAACACCTATGATTCTCAAAGTATGCAAAGCATTTGCTTTTGGAAAGGCTCTCTAAGCATACAAAGTGGGCTCAACCTGGAATCATATTAAAAAATTCAAGAACAACTCACCAGCTACTTGGACCTGTCTGGAGACCTTGTAATTCCAACAGACTTCACTACACTGGAGACCAAACCAATGAACTTTCTTGGCAATGGCATCATTTGAGTCAGCGTTATCAGAGTGGCTTCCTTGCACTCACATCAAGCAGGGCCAGATCTGATGGGGGCTCCACCCTCTGCCTAAGGAAGGAGTGAACAAGTCTTCCCTTACTGGAAACATTCCCCCTCCTACTTCCCAAGACAGAAAAGATCTGATAACAAGTCAAATAAATCAAAGCCATATATGAATCAAACTCTTTTGCTGTAGCACCTAAATAAGAAGGCACTTCACATCTAAAACCAAGATATTGGTTCAAGCACATTCAGAAATTGCTGGGCAAAAAACGATATGCACAGAAGCAAGCATCCAGCAACCAAAACAGACAAAGGAGGAGACTATTTAGTCTCCAGAGCAGATTACACCTGGGGCAAAGAAACAAAGAGGGATGTTTGTCATGGGTTCACATCTAGACTGAAAACCAGATTGGAAGGACATGAGGGTAGCCAGCAAATCAAGTCACACAGCGTGAGTCTTTGCAATAGAAAATAGTGTGCACAAGTATAACAAAGCATGGTAGCTTTGAAGAATTAAGAAAAATGATAAAAAGCACTGAGCTAACAGTGAACATAACTGTTTTATTTTGGGATTTTAATTTTTTTGTTTGCTTTTTTTGGGTTTTGTTTTTGAGGGGTTTTGGTAGGATTTTTTTCCCTTACAGTAACACACAGCCAACTTGCTTTGAGTTACTGAAAAGGAGCTACATGGATGCAAATCATACAAACAGTCTGAAATGTTTTTACCCAGTATCTATCCTTTAATGTCTCACAGTGACCAAAGTTTTTGGCAGAAAACCAAAAAGCCTAAAAGACACATATGTTTAACAATAAACTGAAGAAAAAAGGCAGACAAAATAGAGAAGCCATATTTAAAGGTTTAGGAACACTGCAGGGCTAAAAGTCAGAGTATTGATACGTTTTAGAAGACAGGAACAATCAAGTCTGACAGCTGCAGCAGGTAAGTACTCCTGAGTCATCTTATATTGGTTTAAAGTGTTAGGTGCTTGGCCTTTGCACTCAAATATCTGCAAAAAAAAAAAAAAAAAAAGCAGCAACCTCTAGCAGAACCAGTCCAAACAGGAAAAAAAAAAAGTCCAACCACCCCAACACTATTCTCAAATTTTGGTCATGTCACTGTTAGATCCTGTTTCTCAGCCTAAATGCCAGATGAAAAAGCATTTATGAAGGTAACCAATCACTCTACAGAAAACTCATCTCTTTTGGACGACTCCACTACCAGAACAGTAGCCTCTGGCAGAGAGCTGGAGCTGCCAGCCTCACTAGTAATCTCTCATCAGTCATCAGGGTAAGAGAGCTGGCCTGTCACCACTTCTACCACTGAACAGATGTCAGCTAGAACAGAAAGCAGGCTGTCAAAGAAGTTACCACATGAGGTCTTTGAGGTGCTGGGTGTGAGACTGCTCTTGCAGAAAGTTCAAACTCAAGTGAGGTAATGTGGGGTGGTTTTCAGCTTTAATATCACCATACTGGAAAGGGGGAGGTCATTACAACCCTGCTAGGCTATAGCCCACTAGAGCCTTGGCCGTGTCTGGGAAGGGGAACTGCAGCGATTTCCTGTGCCTCATGGATCCCCCATGTTGCTTGGATATTGCTAACTTTTTATGAGCAAAAATTATGAAGTAAGTTAAGAAGTATTGCACAGATGCATTTACCATTGTCCTATGTTCTACCACCAGATTTTTACCCTCATTTACAAAGACAAGGACCAAAGTAGAGGTGCTCACCCATGCAATTTTTTAAGATTTTTTTCCAGGATTCCTTAAAAAAACCCCACCTCATTACATATGCAGTAAAGTATCTCACATCTACCAGACAGCTTTACCTCTTTCACTAGGGAAAAGTGTTAAGTGTGGGGGAAAGCAGTTTTTTATCAGTTTCTCCAGACTTGCAGCATTTTTGCACATGGATGATGACTATCAAAGAAAAACACTGTATTTTTCACCCAGTTATTATATAACAGGCAGTGCTACAGACTGTATGTAGTAAGGTTCAGAATGCCCCTAAGAAGTCTTTAAACCTGTGTTAAGATCAAAATATTTTTTTTATCTGCTCATTTGTAATTCTAGTAGCAGAATGTACTGTTACAGGCAATCATTTCAACCACCAAAAAAGGCTCTGGTGACATGATCAAACAGTTATACAATGATTAATATGGCTTCTACCTAATTTGCATATGCATTAAGAAAAGAAATATCCTCAGAGCCATCTCAGCTACAGTAACAGTAACTACCCATTCTCATATAACTTCATACATGTGCCAGGAATGACTGCACTAAAAGGAAAAGCTCCTACACTCGATTGCTGCAGCTCAACTTTCTGAACAGATAGCACTCACATATCCCCAATAAAAGCATGAAAAACTGTGAGTCTATCCCATTCTTACTGGATTTCAAATCATCAGCTGTAGCCTTCAGAAGAGGTAAGGGATGTTTACCAGCTCCTGAGTGGCTTTAACAATTGCTGTATACACAGAGATGTCTATGCCCTCTTGGCTCCTCAGATTACCCCTTTTCACCAGCTGGCACAGACACGTATCCCCATGAAAGATTTGCCTCTGAGTTCAAGCAGAGAAATTTTAGCACAGTTTCAGCGAGGGAAGAGGGGCCCACACTGGAGCTGGATCTGCTCAGGAGAAGCCCTGCCTTCCCCCAGCGCACGGAGGGGTTCTGGTGAGGTGACCACCACACTCCGACAGACCCTTCCCACCGCACCACCGCCACAGGGCTCGTGGCTGTGCCCAAAAAACACAGCTGCAGCAAAGCATGGAAGGCAGTGGCACCGAGCAAGGGACCTAAAGCTTTCAAAAACTTATTGAGGATTATGTCTAATCAGAAGAAATAGTTCCTTTGCTATACTCTTCTACTAGTAAATTCTCGACAAAGAAATAAATCACACCGAATCTTCCCAACCAGAAAAACACTTCACATTCTAGCATTGACTGTCTCTAGAGTATTGCAGAAAGTTTCTTTAGAACAAAGTAGACCAAGAAGCAAGATACACAGATTTCTACTGAAAAATAAATCTAGTTCTCCATAATATTTCTGTGATTTATTCAAACAGAATACAATGGAATTATCACCTTTACAGCTAACCCACCCCAAATCTGAGCCCTTTTCTGTATAGCACTGAATTGTTACTATACTATGGAAAGAGCACGCACTACTGGAATGTACACAGTGAAGGAAAAAAAAGTAAAGCTCTTTTTGCCAAAGTAACCATTTTCTCGACTAACGTGTTATCTAGAAAAATAAGGTCTAGGCAACGTCCAAAAAGTGTTCAAGTTTCAATAAATAACTATCAATGCCCCAAGTTTGCACTGGCACAAGAAATATGGAGCATACAGGTTTAGAAAACTATTTTCCTATGACTGAGTCAGCAATTCATTTCAATCTGCTTTAAGATTTACAACAAAAATCATTTCCCTCCAGGATTTGATTTGAAAATCAAAGCCATGTAAGTGCAAGAGCACCCACACAGCTGTCTTAACTCTCAATGGCAAATTAAAGCTCTAGAGAAAGACAGTATTTTAGAAAAGGTTCTTTATCAATACCAAGAAAATATACATAGTCATATTATGTTTTAAATATATATATACACGCACATATTTTCAAAAGGTATGATTCTGGCTATTTTTTTTTTTAAGTTTGAAAAGCTTATCCATTGCTATACAGTTCAGTAAGGTGTATTAGGAAACACACGTTTTATATCCCCCATGAAAATAAAGTTGAATCTTTCTGTAAACAGTAATTTTCTTATTTTCAGAAATCTCTACAGACCTTAAGTACTTCACTGAAAAATTAACAACCACCTGCCCCAGAACCACCCACGGAGACCCTCGCTGCTGAATGCGACATCGACAGAACTCGGGAAACACTTAGCAACACCTGGCTCCCGCAAAAAAAAAAAAAAAAAACCAAAAAAACACGCCTTCTCCGGGCGCAAATAAATAATAATAATAATTATTAATAATAAAAATAATAATAATAGCAGAAGGGCGGCAGCAGGCGCGCACCTTGACCCGCGGTGCCCCCGGGTGGGTGGGCCGGGGCCGGCGGGGTGTCCCTCCTCAGCAGGCGCTGGTCTCCGGCGCGGCGGCCGCCTCGGGGGGAGTCTCCCGCGGCTGGGCGGCGGCGTGAGGAGGAGGAGGATGCCCGGCGGCGTTGATGTGGCAGCCGGAGGAGAGGTGGCTGCGGACGCGACCCTGCAGCTGAGTGACCTGGGCGCGGAGGAGGTTGGCGGTGGCGGCCAGCTCGGCGTTCTGCCCCTTGAGCGCCTTCACCTTCTCCTCCAGCCGGGCGATGCGCTCCAGCTTCCGCCGGCGGCACTTGGAGGCGGCGATGCGGTTTCGCAGCCGCTTGCGCTCGGCTTTCAGCCGCTCCTGGCTCTCCGCGTCCAGCGGCGACAGCGACGGCGGCGTCGGCGCGGTGCTGCCGCCCTCCCCGCCCGCCGACGGCGGCACCTCGGGCACCGTCTGCGGCTCCTCCAGGGACCGCGCCGGCGGCAGCCGGGCGCTCCCCAGACCCGCCGCCCCGAAGGCCAGGCCCGGCGGCGGCGGCGGGGCGGAGGCGGAGGGGTAGGCGCTGCCCGAGGGGCTCAGCGGCCCCGCGGGGTTGAAGCCGCTCAGGTTGGTGTAGACGGCCGGAGGGTCGGCGGCGGCAGCGGCGGGGGCTCCCGGTGGCCCCGGGCGGGCGGTGCAGCAGGGTCCCGGCGCGGAGAGCGGCGGTGGCGCCGCCAGGAGCTGGTTCTGCTTGTGCAGGTCGGCCAGGGCCTTGACGAAGCCGTCGGCGAAACCCTCCTGTTCCTGCGTCACCGGCTGCCGGTAGAGGAACGGCCCCGGCGCCGCCGCCCCGCCGCTCCCCGCCCCGGGTGCCGTCGGCCCTGGGCTGCCCGCGCCCAGCCCCGCACCCCCCTGGATCAGCAGCTGCTCCAGGTCGGCGGCCGGCGGCAGCTTCAGCAGCGGCAGCTCCGCAGCCGACCCCAGCGCGGCCTCCGGGCCGCCCCGGGCCGCCGCCGCGCCGCCGCCGCTGCCGGTCTCCGCGGAGCCCGCGGTCGGCGGCGGGGCGGCGGCGGCGGCGGGCGGCGGCGGCAGCAAGCGCAGGGCCGCCGCGCTGCCGCGGGCGCCGGCAGGCGGGCGAAGGGCGAAGGGCCCCGGGAGCGGCGCGGGGGCGGCAGCCGGCAGGTCCCGCTTCTTGCCGGCGCCCAGCAGCAGCTTCTGCCCCGCCGCCGCATCGGCTCCGGGTCCGCCGGCGGTACCGAAACCCGGCAGCGGCACGAAGTCGGGCAGCAGCTCCAGTCCTTCCTCGGGTAAAACGGCGCCTCCATCTTCACGGCGGATCGCCCGCTACGCCCGCCGCTCATGCTGCCGCCCTCGCCGGCCGGCGGCGGCTCCGGCGCGGGGCGGGCCGGGCTGGGCGGCTGCTCCGCGGGGCCGGCCGCCCTCGGCTGGCAGCGGGGACTGAGCCGCCTCCCGGCGCCGCCGGACCGCGCCACGCCCCGGGCCCGCTGCCCGCCCCGCCGTCGCCGCCTCCCTGCTGCTGCTGCTGCCGCCGGTCCCCCCCGCCCGCTCCTTCCCCCGCCCGCCGGGCTTGCGCGGAACGGCTTCCCGGTGGGTGTCCGTGGGGAGCCGCGCTGCTCCTCCCCCTCGGAAACTCGCCCCGCGACTGCGGTGCGGGAAAGGAGGCAGTGCTGGGGCCTTCCTCCGGGAACGGGGGAGTTTTCTCGGGGCCATCAGTCCGGCCCGAGGACCGGGAATTCTCAGGAGGAAAGCGAGCAAGGGCATCGCGTGGCGGCTGCTGGGGCAGGTGCCGGTGCGTTCCGTCTGTGATGGATGGGCACAGGATAGTGCAGGTGTCGAGGACTAATGATTCTCAACAACACAGTTCTGGGAAGTCTGACGGGAAGTGCTTGGCCATCATGAAACACTCCATCTAGTCAAACTAAAAGTCACTCAGAAGATAACCATGAATTTGACGTGGCCTTTTTTTCCTGGAAAAAAAAAAAAAAGTTAAGAAAAAGAATTTGAAACATCCTAGACATATTTCCAACATTTTCAAAATTACTGAAATGTGAATAGCATTTTTCAGTTTGGGGGTTGTATTTATTTGTTATCTTTAGTCAAGACAACTGCCTCTGCCTTTCCCCAAGTTTTTCAAATTCTTATGGGATAAGGAAATTTCTTTCTACCCAGTCTTTCCTAAATCCCTTTTGCTTCAGGACACCAGTGTGATCCTGACAGAGCTGCTGAAAGCTCTGCTTTAAGTCTTTAAAATCAGCTTGGTGACTGATGGTCTCAGTGGCTTATCTACACATTCACCAGATCTTCTCATCTGTGATGGACCCCCTCAGTTAGGTGTCACCTTCTGCAACCTACTCATGCTTTCGTGCTTTCTCCCCAGGCATTTCCTTCCTGCGTATCAAGACCATGTGCCTCTTCTCACAGTGTCTAGGGAAGTTGCTGAGTTCTGCTCTTAGCACAATCTGTATGGCCATGCTGTATGTGCCTAGGTTCATTCCAAAACCAGCAGTGGAGGAGGACATGGACAGTGGTATCAAGTCCAGGACTTTGACTCATAATCCCTCCTCAAGTCCAGAGAACTGGAGTCTAGGATGCACTGAGGCCTTGATGACCTTGACTCAAGTACTTTGGGGCTGCCAGTTCTTATGTATGGGTGCAAGAGCTCTTTTTCAACACAGTCCAGCACCTTCAGTCCCTGCCTGGCTGTGTCACAGGTGTCACCCTCTTCTGCTCCATCTCCTGGGTGAACCTTGGACCTGTGTTTCCAGTTCTGTTCCTGGTACCATCTCCTGCTGCTCCTACCTGAATTACCTGGGTGGACCTGGTTCATCACCTCACTGTGTGTGGGTGTGTCCATTCGTGCCTGCTCTGCTCTTGTGCTGCAGGACTCTGTCCAGGCTGGTGAGCCTGGCTCTGGTCACCCCTAGCTCATCTTGCTGTCGGGCAGCCCAGCTCTTCTAGTTCTTGAGGCTGTGGCAGAACTGCTGCCCAGAAAACTGGCAGCAGGAGGGAGAAGAAAGCCATCAGGCAAAGGCCAGGGACAGAGGCATTCACATGGATAGGGGAGGAGTAAGCATGTTTTTCTTGGTGAGGAAGGTAGTGCTAGAAAGAGCTTGTTTTGGTTTCCTTGTCTCTTGGCTGACCTAGCAAGAGAGGCAGCAGAGCTAACAGTGCTCAGCCAACACTGAGTACTGAAAACATCTCATGTGAGTGGCTTTGTGGAAGTATAGATTAAGTTGCTGTACAGGCTTTTCTGTCATATTCCTGGGCAAGCAAATGGCAGTGACTGGTACCTTCCATCATCTGGGCAAAGAGAATTGTCTAGGCAGAGAAGCCACAGTCTCCAAGCCAAGGCAAATAAACCTTCTTTTCTTTCCCTCACAAAGCAAGTGTAGATGGGGAAAGTAGGCTGTGGAGAAAATAATTATCTGAGTGTGGTCAGAGAAAAAGCCATGGAGGTCCATTTGGGTCTGGGGTCATTGTCAGTGAATTTCTAGATATACCGTTACACTTGACTGGGGTGATCCTAAAGGTGGGTTCCTTTGTCATTCCTATACAAAAACTGTCACTTATGTAGGACAGTTTTAGTTGTTGATCGAATGCAGAGTTCAAAAGTGAGCCCACAGAATGGGAACACGTCGAAACTGTTTGAAAGAAACCTATTTGTAACAATAAATAGATTTGTTGAGAGATCTATCTACTGTCTGCTGATGCACCTGCACACTACGTTTAGGTGAGTGATACCAAGTTGTTTTACACGACCTTAATGCAACTGTGTGTTATGGCAACGTGGTCTTCCCGTTGTTTTCTTTTGCCTTTCCCCCGCCCCTCCTTTTTTAAAATTTTTTATTCTTCTCCCCCAAGGAAGCCAGAACCTCCCGCGGGGCTCACAGCCCGTGCGGCAGCGCCTTGTGCACACCCGCCCGCCGCCCTGCCTGCCGCTGGGGCAGCCGTCCCCGGCCACGGGGAAGGAACGCCGGAGCGGCCCTGAGGGCTCCCCTCGGGGAAGGAACGGCCGGAGCGGCCCTGAGGGCTCCCCTCGGGGAAGGAACGGCCGGAGCGGCCCTGAGGGCTCCCCTCGGGGAAGGAACGGCCCAGATGGTGCCCGATGGGGCGGACGGCGCTGCCCAGCTGTGGGTGCGGGGTGTGGGTGGCACTGCCCAGCTGCGGGTGTGGAGCGGAGGGCACTGCTCAGCTGTGGGTGTGGAGCAGAGGATCCTGCCCAGCTGCGGGTGTGGAGCGGAGAGCGCTGCCCAGCTTGTGGAGCGGAGCGGCTGTGCTTTGCTGTGGGTGTGGAGCGGAGGGCCCTGCTCTGCTGTGGGTGTGGAGCGGAGGGCGGGTGTGGAGCGGAGCGGCGGTGCTTTGCTCTGTGTGTGGAGCGGAGCGACGCTGCCCAGCTGTGGGTGTGCGTGGAGCGAAGGGCCCTGCCCAGCTGTGGGTGTGGAGCGGAGGGCCCTGCTCTGGTGTGTGTGGAGCGGAGGGCCCTGCCCAGCTGTCTGTGTGGAGCGGGGGGCCCTGCCCAGCTGTGGGCGTGTGTGGAGCGGAGGGCCCTGCCCAGCTGTGTGTGTGGAGCGGAGGCTCCTGCCCAGCTGTGGGTGTGTGTGGAGCGGAGGGCCCTGCCCAGCTGCGGGTGCGTGTGGAGCGGAGGGCCCTGCCCAGCTGTGGGTGCGTGTGGAGCGGAGGGCCCTGCCCAGCTGTGGGTGCGTGTGGAGCGGAGGGCCCTGCCCAGCTGTGGGTGTGTGTGGAGCGGCGGGCCCTGCCCAGCTGCGGGTGTGGAGCGGAGCGGCGCTGCTTTGCCGTGGGTGTGGAGCGGAGGCTCCTGCCCAGCTGCGGGTGCGGGACGCGGGCGGAGCGCGGCCGCGAGAAGGGGCGGAGCGGAGTGAGGAGGCGGCCGGATTGGCGAGCCCGCCGAGCGAGGCCCCAGCCCCACCCCGCGCGCCGACGCGTCCAATGGGCGGAGCGCGGCGCGCGCGGCTACCGCGAGAGGTTCCGTTGAAGCTGGCGCCGCCATCTTGGAGTTGGGAGAGGCCGCGCGTCCCGTTCCCGTCCCTCTCCGGAGGGCCACGGACGTGGGGGGGGGGGGAGCCCGCGGGAGGCGGGGGGAGCATGGGCGCCCTGCGGTGAGTTCGCAGCGCCCCGCCGGCTCGCCCATCCCCGCGGAGGGGCCGCGCCGCGGAGGGCGCGGGGTTGGGCGGGATGGTGCAGTCCTGTTCCGCCTACCGCTGCCGGAACCGATACGACAAAGAGAAGCCCATCTCCTTCCACAAGTGAGCGCGCGCGGCGCCGGGGCGGGGTCGCGCCGGGGGGGGGGGGGGGGGGGGGCCAGCGCGGGACCGCGCGCGCGAGGGCGGCGGGAGCCGTGAGGGAGCGGCGCGGGCGGGCGGGAATCCGCGGTCACACTGAGGGACAGACCGAGGGACAGACCGAGGGACAGACCGAGGGACAGACTGAGGGACACACAGACAGCGGGACGTGTCCCTTCGCTGCCCCTGAGGCCGGGGTGCCTTCCCCGCTCCCCCCGCCCCGGAATCTCCCCTGGGGAAAGACGGAGGGACGGGACCCTCGGAGCCGCCTGTTGCAGAGAGAGCGGGCAGTGAAACCTCGTTCCCTCCTCACCCCGATGAGGGGCAGGAAGATTTTTGGCTCCGTTTGTAAAGCTTTCCAGAAAAGCTGAAAGTGCCTCTTGCTTGCAGGTTTCCTCTTACGAGACCCGATCTTTGCAAGAAGTGGGAAGCTGCTGTTAAGAGGAAAAACTTCAAGCCGACCAAGTACAGCAGCATTTGCTCAGAACACTTTACCCCCGATTGCTTTAAGAGGGAATGCAATAACAAGCTCCTAAAAGAGAATGCAGTGCCCACAATATTCTGTTACACTGAACCCGGTGAAAAGGTATCGCTGGCTGGGGGGCTATGTACAAATCACGGACGGGATGGGACCGCTGAGGAACGTGTCTCGAGCTGTTTATTTTTTCATATCAGTCTCATTACATGTTTTTGACAATGGGATACAACACACAGAGCTCCATTATTAAGCTTACAACTTCCTAATATCTCACCGGATATACTTTTCTACAACGTAAGGAGTTATTCTACCCAAGTGTTAATACACAGACCATAGTTCTATTTGTCCTTTCTTTCTACTTCTTATATAATTTTTCTGCTGACAAATCTTATAGCTGCTGCTTACCATCCTGCTGTCTCTTTTTACCTACCTTTTACAACGTGCCTAAAACCCTCTGACTTTAAAGAATCCCACAAAAAGGTAAACCCAAAGGACCCATAGCTGCAGGTGCCAGGACATGTTTTGTGTGTCACTGGTTCCAGTGT